GGGGACTACTGGACACTGACTCTGAACTGATGATTCCAGGGGACCTAAAACGTCATTGTGGTCTGCCAGTTAAAGTAGGGGCTTATGGAGGTCAGGTAATTAATGGAGTTTTAGCTCAGGTCTAACATACAGTGGGTCCAGTGGGTCCCCAGACTCATCCTGTGGTCATTTCCATAGTTCCAGAATGTGTAATTCGTATAGACATAGTTAGCAGCTGGCAGAACCCCTACATTGGCTGCCTGACTGGTAGGATGAGGGCTATTATGGTGAGAAAGGCCAAATGGAAGCAGTTAGATCTGCCTCTACCTTCCAGGGATGTAATATTGTTTTTGATTTACTATTTTTCTAGGTAGATATTAATTGCAGAGATTAGCACCACCATCAGGGAGTTTAAAGATGCAGGGGTGATGATTCCTACCTGTTCAACTCTCCCATTTGGTCTGTGCAGAAGACAGATGGATCTTGGAGAATGACAGTGGATTATCATAAGCTTAATCAAGTGGTGACTCCATTTGCATCTGCTGTACCAGATGTGGTTTCATTGCTTGAGCAAATTAACGCATCTCCTGGTACCTGGTGTGCAGACATTGACTTGGCAAATGCCTCTTTCTTTTTTCCATTTCTGTCCATAAGATCCACCAGAAGCAACTTGCCTTCAGCTGGCAAGGCCAGCAATGTATTTTCACTGTCCTACCTCAGGACAATGTTTGTGTTATAATCTTATTCTGAGAGACCTTGATCACTTTTCACTTCTGTAAGATGCCACACTGTTCCATTACATTGATGATATTATGGTGATTGGATTCAGTGAGCAAGAAGTAACAAACACACTGGACTTATTGGTGAGACATTTGTGTGCCACAGGATGGGAAATAAATTCAGGAACCTTCTATCTCAGTAAAATTTCTAAGGATACAGTATTTTGAGGCCTGTTGAGGTATTCCTTCTAAGGCAGAGGATAAGTTGCTGCACTTGGCCCCGTCTACAACCAAGAAAGAGGCACAATGCCTAGTGGGCCTATTTAGATTTTGGAGATGAATACATTCCTCACTTGAGTATGTTACTACAACCCATTTATTGAGTGACCTGAAGGCTGCCAGTTTTGAATGGGGTCCAGAACAGGGTAAGGCTCTGCAGCAGGTCCAGGCTGCTGTGAAAGCTGCCCTGCCACTTGGGCCCTATGACCCAGCAGATCCAATGGTGCTTGAGGTATCAGTGACAGACAGGGATTTCATCTGGAGCCTTTGGCAGGCTTCCATAGGTGAACCAGAGTGGAGGCCTCTAGGATTTTGGAGCAAGTCCCTGACATATTCTGCAGAGAGCTGCTCTCCTTTTGAGACAGTCTTAGGCTGTTACTGGGCTTTGGTGGAAACTGAATGTTTGATTATGGATCATCAAGTTACCATGCCACCTGAACTGCCTATCATGACTGGTCACTTTCTGACCCATCTAGCCATAAAGTGGGTTATGCACAGCAGCAATCCATCATCAAATGGAAGTGATATATATGTAATCAGGCTTGAGCAGGTCCTGAAGGCACAAGTAAGTTACATGAGGAAGTGGCTCAAATGCCATGGTCTCTACTTTTTCCAACCTGCCTTCTCTCATCCAGCCTGCACCGATAGCCTCATGGGGGAGTTCCCTATTATCAGTTGACAGAGAAAGAGAAGACTAGGGCCTGCTTCACAGATGGTTCTGTATGATATGAAGACACCACCCAAAAGTGGACAGCTGCAGCACTACAGCCCCTTTCTAGGACATCCCTGAAGGATAGCGGTGAAGAGGAACCTTCCCAGTGGGTAGAACTTTGAGCAGGGCACCTATTTGTGGACTTTGCATGGAAGGAGGAGTGACCAGATGTGGAATTAAATGCTGATTCATGGCCTGTAGCCAATGATTTGGTGAATGGTCTGGGACTTGGAAGAAGCATGATTGGAAAATTGGTGACAAAGAAATTTGGGGAAGAGGTATGCAGATGGACCTCCCTAAGTGGTCAAAAACTGTGAAGATAATTGTATTTCATGTGAGTGCTCACCAACGGATGACCTCAGCAGAGGAGGATTTTAATGTCTCTTTTCTTGGCCACCCCTTCGCCCAATGGGCACAAGAATGAAATGACAATGGTGGCAAGGACAGAGGTTACACATGGGCTCAGCAACATGGACTTCCACTCACCAAGGCTGGCCTGGCTATAGCCACTGCTGATTGCCCAGTTTACCAGTAGTAGAGGCCAATACTAAGCCCTCGATATGGCACCATTCCTCAGGGTGATCAGCCAGCTACCAGGTGGCAGGTTGGTTATGCTGGACCTCTTCCATCATGGAAAGGGTAGAGGTTTGTCCTCACTGGAATAGACATTTACTCTGGATATGCGTTTACCTATTCTGCATGCAACGCTTCTGCCAAGACTACCATCTGTGGACTCACAGAATGCCTTATCCGCCATCATGGTATTCCACACAGCATTGCCTCTAACCAAAGCACTCACTTTATGCTAAAGAAGAGCAGCAGTGGGCTCGCTTATGAAATTCATTTGTCTTACCATGTTCCTCATTATTCTGAAGGAGGTGGATTGATAGGACAGTGGAATGGCCTTTTGAAGTCACAGTTACAATGCCAACAAGGTGACAAAATTTCACAGGGCTAGGACAAGTTCTCCAGAAGGCCATATATGCTGTGAATCAGTATCCAACATATGGTACTGTTTCTCCTGTAGCCAGGATTCACAGTTCCAGGAATCAAGGAGTGGAAGTGGAATAGGTACCACTCACCATCACCCCTAGTGATCAACTAGCAAAATTTTTGCTTCCTGTTTGTGTGACATCACCTTCTGCTGGCCTAGAGGTCTTAGTTCCAGAGGGAGGAATGCTGCCACCAGGACACAGAAAACAATTCCATTAAACTGGAAGTTAAGATTGCCACCTGGACACATTGGGCTCCTCCTACCTTTAAGTCAACAGGCTGAGAAGGCAGTTACAGTGTTGGTTGCAGTGTTTGACCTGGACTATCAAGATGAAATCAGTCTACTACTCCCCAGTGGAGATAAGAAAGAGTATGCATAGATACAGGAGATCCATTAGGGTGTCTCTTAGTGTTACTATGCCCTGTGATTAAGGTCAATGGGAAACTACAACAGCTCAACCCAGACAGGACTACAAATGACCCAGACCCTTCAGTAAGGAAGGTTTGTGTCACTCCACCAGGAAGAAAAACCACAACATTCTGATGTGCTTGCTGAAGGCAAAGGGAAGACAGAATGGGTAGTAGAAGGTATTCAATACAGCTATGACCACTTGACCAGCTGCAGAAACTAGGGCTAATTGTCATGAGTATTTCCTCCTTCTTTTGTTAAAAACATGTTTGTGCATATATACACTTGTACCAAGAAAGTATCTTCATTTTATTTCCTTTCTCCTTTATCATGTGACATAAGATTTGTTGACTTCACATCAGCGTTTTTGTTAACTTTATGTACTAGTATTTGGGTTGGGGATTGGTGCATTTCTGGTTGTACGAAGGATAGTTTGTATTATGTTAGGCATAATTATGACCTTATTATTGTCTTTATTTGAGAATTGTATACGCTCTCAGGAGATATGTATGGGTTCAGGTTGACAAAGGGTGGACTTGTATTGGTTAATACTGAGGATCAGCTTGATTGGGTTGAAGGATACAAAGTATTGATCCTAGTGTGTCTGTGAGGGTGCTGCCAAAGGAGGTTAACATTTCAGTCATTGATCTGGGTAAGGCAAATGCACCCTTAATCTGAGTAGGCACAATATAATCAGCTACCAGCATGACTAGAATACAAGCAGGAGGAAAAATGTGAATGGCCTAGTCTCCCAGACTACATCTTTCTCCTGTGCCGGATGCTCCAAGTTCTTCAGTTTTGGAACTCAGACTGGCTCTCCTTGCTCCTTAGCCTGCAGATGGCCTATTGTGGGACCTCGTGATTGTGTGAGTTAATACTTAGCGAACTCTCCTTTATATATACATCTATTCCAAAAATTCTGTTCCTCTGGAGAACCCTGACTAATACAGTTGGTAAAATATACATCAATAAAGAACAGATTGAATAACAAAAACATCCATCAGTTTTTTTCACCAGCACTGTCTATACTTATATACAAAAGAGACAATGTGAGATATTTTACTTGAAAAAAAGTGCAAAATTTGAAATATTTTCATAGGAGTTTCATTTATCTTTGGAATTATTTTGGGTTAGAAAAAACAGAATATGCGTGCATAAAAGTAGAGAAGAAACACATTTGCAAGCCAAATTAAAATCTCTAAATGAATTAAGGAGGACAGAAATAATAGTTATCAATGTCTAACCAGCGGCATCTCCTTATTTTCATAATAACAGTAACATGTGCTCAAATTTACAATGGTTGATGTTTGAATCTAATCTGCCAGTACCTTTTGGTATATATTCCTTGTTTTTGTCAACTTAAGTTCTTTATCACAGTAAGAACAGAATAATAGAACAGATTCCCAGGGAAGTGCTGAGGTTAATAAAAAATAAGTCATAAATATACAACATGAGGGAGAAATAAGAGCGGAAGGAGCTATTCTAGTATAGAAGCTATTTCTTTCTCATTAAAATGTCCTGAAATTTTAAAGATAAAAATTCTTATTGCAAATGCCTTTTTTCACTACTAAATAAAGTCTGGTAATTTTACCTTATAAATTGGATCGAAATGTTTTATGAGTGATCACAGACAGAAACTGTGGTAATGATTACCATGCAGAACCTGGTGCTACTAAGCGTGCTTTTCTTTTCCCTTCTCAGTGATAGAGATGTTTTCCTAGATGATGGAATTAATGGGGAAGAATTGTGAAGGATGTAACACTAATAATCCAGGGAACTGGGGAAAAAAGAGAATCACAGTATTCTTTGCTGCTCAGGGCCATTTTTGCTCACCATGCCTTAAATCACATTCATTCTATGATTTACGGGCATTTCTGTTTCATCTAGAGAGCCATCTGGATCAAAACAGTAATATAGCTGTGTTGACAACTGCCACAATGCCAACTTTCTTCTCAGGGACCATCTTGAATTTCTGCTTAGTCACAAGCAGACCACAAATGAACACAATTAAAATCTCAGTATGATCTTTAATATGAGACTGCCCATCTTGGCCACACTGGCTTTCTAAGGGTATTATTTAGTATTTCACTGGCACACCAGGATCACGTAACATCCCCCAATGTCCCATGGGGACATCTCGAAGGGAAAAGTGCATGATTCACCTGCCCAGCTAGGAGATCAAAAGAGTTTTCTGAATATTGAATATTTGGTAAATTCCAAAAATCTGAGACAAAAAGATAGCTTTAAGGCAATCAAAAACAATATAATTCTGTTTCTCCTCAACATTATATAATCAAACACTGGCATTATTGTGTGAAATCCAGAAAGCTGCTTAAATTTTAGGTCCCTTGAAGGGCTAGGAGCTTAGCATTTCCTTCAACTATGATCAGGGGAGGAAGAAAATTGAAGGAGCGATTTTTCCTGTGTCATTATTTGTTCCCAATTAATAGGCACAGAGATATGAAAAGGGTCATGTAATTTAAGAAGCCCATGGTATGGAGAGTTACTGAAATAATTGCCCAGCTTGGAATCTTCATCAGCTTGTCAGATCTCTCTCCCTCTACAAGCACTTTCATAGTATACTTTAAGAGACCACTGTGTAACCTTCACAGGCCAAACATCTACCCAGCAGCACATGATTAAACTCTCAAACATATATGAAAAGAGTTCCACTGGATACTGTCCTTTCAACCAGCCAGTATTTCAGGCTTCACAATGTAATTTTTTTTTTTTTTGATAACAGCTTGCATTATAAGAAAAAGGCTGTATAACTGGAGGAATAAAAAGCACTCGTTGAAGAAAGTGAATATTGCAAACTGAAATTCTTCCTGGAGCTATTAGCAAATCAAAATTTAGTAATGTTTGTTCCAAATTTACATGAATTCCAAAGTACCTACCTTGATAAAAAATATAGGTTACATTCCAGCCTCAAAGATGATATTGTTGAGTATTATTTCTTTTCTCTCTCTCTCTCTTTTCTTTTTTTTCTTTTTGAGACAGAGTCTTGCTCTGTTGTTCTGTCACCCAGGCTGAGTGCAATGGCATTATCTCGGCTCACTGCAACCTCTGCCTCTTTGGTTCAAGCGATTCTCCTGCCTCAGCCTCCTGAGTAGCTAGGTTTACAGACATCTGCCACAAGTCCTGGTTAATTTTTGTATTTTTAGTAGAGACAGCATTTCACCATGTTGGTCAGGCTGGTCTTGAATTCCTGACCTCAGGTGATCCACCTACCTCAGCCTCCCAAAGCGCTGGGATTGCAGGTGTGAGCCACCGTGCGTGGCCGAGTATTATTTCTTACATGATACAAGGAGGTGAAAGAAGTTGCTTTCTTATAACTTATAATAATATAGCATATTATATTAATTATAATAACAATAATTCATACTTACAAATATAATAATAAGTTACTATAAAAATTAAGTACTTGTAGTGCAGGTAGGAATAGCATAGTACCCAATTGGAATGTAATCTGTAGTAGAGTGGTTAATCAGGCAGATACTGGAGTCTGACTCTCTGAGTTCAAATCTGAGCTTTTTAATTTTTCCTAGCTGCCTGACCTTGGAAAAGGCATTTCACCTCTCCAAGACTTAGGTTCTTTATCTGTAAAAGATACTAGCAGTATTTAAAAAATTAGATACAGGATATTGTGGGAGATCAAGTCTTATAAAGGATTTTAGATAATACCCAGCAAGTTGTAAGTGCTTAACAATCACTACTATTGTTTTCGATAGCTTAATCACTACCACCATTGTTCTTTGGATATAAAAGTGTTCAAAAATGTTATTAAAAAAAACAGATCCTTTGAATTGATTGTTTGTGTGTGTGTGTGTGTGGTGGGGGGGTCATTCAAAACCATGACAAGCTAAATTGACGTGAGCTTTGAGTAAGCAGGGCTACATCACAAAATGTTTTGTAAGGATGTTTAGTTTTCATTGTGAAGGCAACTGGAGTTATTGAAGAGCTTTGAGCAAAGAAGTTTTAAGATATTAGGCTGAGAGGGAGGAATTTCAGGGCTGTGGCAGGGAAATTAGTCAGTCATAACCATGAAGAAAGAGTTAACAGCCAGCAGCTACAGGTTCTCTGAATTCTAAGGTTATCAGGGATTGGATTTTAGTAAATCAAATTAAGTGCAAGAGGAAAACTTGCAAATTAATGGTAAGGTAAAACTTTATAGTCATAATTGGTTATTATCTAAGTATTCATTTTAAGTCAATTTTTCTGTTCTTAAGTTTTTTTGTTTTTTAAATATTTATAATGATATTAGAAATTTAAACAAAAAAATGTGACTTTCTTCCTGGACTACATCAATTAACAAACAACACGTTTGTTATAGTTTTTACCAAACCATCTAAAACTGAAATTGCAGAGATATCTTGTAATTGATCACATGTATTTATTACTTTATTTTTGCAATCATGACAGTCTCTCAAGGTTGTCATTAAATATTTTTTATTTTAAAGAGCACACTCAGTTTCAAGATATATTAAAAAAATTCAGAAAAAATATATTAATCATATCAAAGGTAAGGGGGATGGAAGATCAGTGGCAGAAGCATGCGACCAGTGATAGTTTTACAATAAGGTAAGAAAAATAAATTTTTCTTATCAGGGGAATTTTGCTAAAATACTCCCATAAAGATGATAAGCTTCAGTTTTAATTTTACTTCTGGCATGTGTGTGCCACTTTAAAGAAAATAAAGGCATCCTTAACTTTGCCCTGGTTTCTGGGAACAGGAAGTTTTGATGAATATTTAGAGATGAATATAAATAAATTGAAAAAATTTATGTTACTTGTGGAATGCATATATACATATGTGGGACATAAAGCTGTATGATTGCAGCAGGTTTAGGATGAATCTATTCAGATAGAATTTAAATGAATGGACAAGCATGGCAATGGCTTCTGAGCAACTGTTGAGAACTCTGAGAAGTGTTTTTGTTTTACTGCTGGAGAAAAGAAACAAGAACTGAAAAAACACATAACCTGTAAAAATTAAAACTGAATCAATTGAATTGCTGGAGCCTAGATTTTACCTGGGGCTTGTGTAACTTAAGATTGAAATCACAATTAAAAAACAAACAAATAATAAACTCGTCATTCACTTACCTTTCATTAGTGTGGATGCTCCCTTTTGTTTAAGCATGCTCAAATCTTGTTGAGGTTTTAGGACAAAGACACTTGAAAATCTGGGAAATTAATATCAACAGCACAAAGAAAGTATGGCAGAGCCTTTGGAATTGATCACAGAATGAAAACTTCTTAGTTTTAGAATTTATTGAGAGAAGTTTCCTGCCAATATATAAACAATAAGTTGTTTTATTTAAGGCATAATATATTCTCAGTGAGAGGAGAGCTATATTTTTCTTCATCAATCAATAAAGCTACGAAAAGTATTTGAGGTGTAACATAAAAAATTGCACAATATAATACACTGGGTTTACCTAAAACAGAGGTATGATTTGAAATAATAACTTCTTGAGACTGTGTAATAATTTTGCTTTTATACATAATCATTTTATAATGATAATTTTAGAAAAAGGCCAGTGTTTTAATGTGTCGGAAATTAGATCTGGCAATGGTCAAAAGTCAATGACGATGTACAGCTCTGCTGCTTTTGCACATAGGGAGAAATGCAGGACTATTCATCTGACCATTATTACATTAAATAGAAGTGTGACCTTGATTTATGAAGTCCAAGAGCCTCTTTTATCTTCCCTCCCTCTCTTTCCTCCTTCCCTCTTGTGTACATTTTTAAACTGTTGCCTGCTTAGAAAAAAAAAATTTAGTGGATTTTTTTAAAAATTGATTTTTCTATTATGAACACTATACTCAGCAATTTTAACTTTATCTTATAGCTAATGGGGTCATTAGAGACTATTGAACACGCAAATGTTCTAGCTGTGAACCGCTGGCTGGATTGGTAGGATTATACTCTGGAAGGCAGGAGGCCTATTGTAACAGGCCACACAGGAAAAATTGGGGTCTGGATAGGTTAGCAGCCATTAAAATGGAAGAAAGGGATAGTTTTGAAAAGGAAGAACCCAAGGAGCTCGCCAATTGGCTTCTGGGGAAGTGAGAACTACAGTTGTAGCTAAGGATTCAGGTGCCCCCAGTAAGGAAGAATAAGTGATGAGAATATAAACAATGGAAATCAAAGAGAGTAAAATATTAAGGAGAACAGGTAATGGCACTGGATGTAATTTGTGAGAGTAAGAAGAAGGAAGTACGTTTTAAAAAGAGACATCCCACCTAGACGGTTAATTGCATTGTAGGGGACCACCTTATTATTTTGCTTAGCTTTTCACATAACAAGAGGTCTTGGTGATGACTAGGGATGATGCACCGCCAAGATTGGAGAAGCATACCATTTTTGATTTGTTTTGATTTTTTGATTTGTTTCAACCAATATTTATAAGATGGGATAAAAATGATAATGGTGAAGATAAAAGGTTGGTACGAGAAGATAAGACCTAGCCATGCTTTACCTAATTCTGCTTACTTCTTTTCAAAATAAAGTAAGATTCTTTTCTTATCCCTCTGAGAGTGCATGTGTGCATATCTGTGCCTTGAGTTTTGATTACTAATATTGCAATCATAACTAAACAACTGAATTCCGAATCAGTGCCAGGGACTGAGGAAATCACTGATAAGCGTGATCACATTTACTCTTCACAGCAACTTTTAAATGTAGTAACATTATTATTGCAGTTCTATAGATGAGGACTTTGAATATCAGAAAGATTAAAGAGATTTACTGAAGTTCCCAAAGTTAATAAGTGGTAGAGCCTAGATTCAAATCTAGGCACTCTGGCTCCAGAGTCTTAGTTGTTAACAAATATAACTCTCAGTTTATGCTGGCTCTGAAAAAAGGTACGTAACCTCTTCTAAAAATTTCAAACAATGAATTTATTTTCATCTTCAGATTTTTCATATCATGTAGAGAGAAAAGGATTTGTGTAGCATATTAAAACTTTAATTAATATAGACAGAATATGTACATAGCCTGGATGTCTGAGGGAAAATGTGATATAATTTCTTTCTTCTTGTCTAAGAGCACATAACGTGAAAACATCAAAGTTTCCATGTATGCATTTAAATTAGTAGTATTTCTCTTGAGATTATTTATTCACTGGGTGAAATGTAGCATGAAGAGGTTTCCCCACTTTTCTCTCCCATTTGATCTTTCAGAAATGAATTGCCTTTTACTCCTTCTCTACATAACAAATTTCTATTCATTTGACAAGATTTACATCAAGCTGGATTCCCTAATAATTCCAGGGAATTAGTGACTCTCTTTCTGGATTATCTAGCACTCTGCATAAACCACTCCGAACGTGTTACTTTTCATATCTTGAGGGCAAGGAGCTTCTATCTTCTCTCTTACCTGATGCATAGTAGAAATGTATTAGAAATAGTTGAGCTAATGAATAAATGAAAAATAGATAGATGTATTTCAGAATACTAGTGTGAGGATTTCAAGCTTGAGTTTAATAGCCCTTTGTTCTAAAGAACACAAATGACTTTTGGAATTCTTGAGGTACAATAGACATTTGGGGAACAAAAGATTTCATTTATGGTCCAAATGAAACTGTTAAAGTAATTTTACTTGAAAGTCATAATGTACATTGACTGACTACGTTTTTTAAAAACATGACTGTTGATGGTGCTTTCTTCAATTTTTTTCTTTCCAATTCTGAATCTGTTCTTGATTGCCCAGAGTATCATCTTGCTGTTCAGAGTGAGTGTCCAAATATATTTAATTGCATCACTTTTCACAGTTAAAATTTCCACCATGACCAATTTTTCTGTGTTCCTGGATAGCTTTATGAGTAATCTATTATTTTTCTAATTTCCAATTTGAAATAATTACATGCTCAATTGCTTCTTATGTTTGTCTAATGTATATGACTGTGAATATCAATTGCTTTTATTCTTTCTAGCAAAATTGTTTAATTCACTTTAATTATAAATTTGCTATGATTTTGCTTAGACCAAGCACACTATAAGATTCAACAGTTTTTTTCTGCTATAACAATTATATTTCTCAGATGGCAAGTTATTGTGCCAGAACAATCAAATGACCTGAGATAGTTAGCCAAGGGGGATAATGGATGCAAATGGAGTGTTTATTTGGCACACAGAAGTGATATGATTGTCTTTCTTTGCCTCTCAAAGAGAATAAATTTCATATACTACTAGGCAGAAAAGATGAAAGAAGCCATTTGCTACACCCTCCTATTTTAAATAATGTATTCAGTTTTACTCTTGCAAATTTAGTAAAATCAGTTTTTATGCTTTTCTACATAGAAGTAGAGAGGGAACCCAGTTTTGTACTTTCTATCTATGGATAGAAAAGGCCTTGTTTAGCAATAGAATTTCAGTCAAGTGTTAGCATATGAGATAGCCACAAAATTGTCACCAAATTGAATTCCCTGCCTCTCAGTGTCTTCAACCTGAAAGGCAAATACCTACCATGAGGCAGTGTATCTGCAGTTAAAGCAGCTTCTCTTAAAGGGTTACCTACTGCATATAATTTTGTCATTTGCCCAACTACATGAATATTAAAGTAAGTTATATAATAATTTATAACCAATTTTTTCAATAAGCATTTCCTAAACCCTAACCGAATTCCCAGCACTATGGAAATGTGTGGAAGTTACAGCAGTGAATACAGCAGCCAGAGCCCTTGCTCAGCTTGCAATCTACAGGATCACGGACATCAGACAAATTAACACAAGTGGCATCACTACAATCAGGAAGACATTTAGCGAGTTAATGAATGCCAGTTAGAGTGTCCTACCCAGGGTCACAACCGGGAGGAGGCCAAGTCAGGTGTTGAATGTCCGCCCCAAACCTTATCAAAATGAGTAATCACTTAAAGTCCTAATCTACCCACTCCACCCGGTAAAAGGCACAAAGGTTCCAATATCTACATATAGTGAAGAATAAGAAGGACTGAAGGTTAATTTCCTACTTTCAAAACTTAGAAACAAAGTAAACACCACTTCCTGATCCTCAATTTTCTCATCTGTAAACTAAAGAAATCTACTTTATAATGTTTATATATTCAATAGTGTTTTCTACATCACACTTAATAGATGATGGCTATTCATTTTAGTAAGACTATGTATGAACTTTACATTAATGCAAGATTAAAGAAAAAATGTGGAATTTTTGAAACAGATTTTAAAGTAGCTCTTTCCCACTTAAATTCAGTTCAGTACAACTTCTAAATTTAGAGCCTATGTTTTGAATAATCTGGGGTATCAAGGCATAGAAAGCTAGGGAACAGCCTACATGAAATAATGATCATGGTAGCATCCCTCCTTCCCCCATTCTCTCTCTCATTTTTTTTTCTCTCTCTCTCTTCTCTCTTTCCCCCTACCATCCAATTTCAGCACTTGGAGTACATTTTTGTTTGTAGGTGCTGAGGGAATTATCTGCAGTGTTTTTTGGGGAAAAGAGAAATAGCAAGAAAGCATGGAGAAGAAAGGGGATTTTCAATTTCAAAAGATACCTAGTTTGAGCTCATCTGTTCTGAAATTTGAGAAGATTTAACTCTGAGTGTTCCAAACAACAACCTTGCTGGTAGATAATGCATTTGGAGAATGAATGCATGAGCAGAAACCATATCCAACAAAACGAAACAAAAATAGATAAACTGAAATTAGTGAAATCCAGATGAAGCCCTAGCACAGATTTTCATTATGATTTTGGTAATATACACCAAGCTAGTAGAAGCAACTAAATAAGCTGGCCAATTGGTAGCAGCAAAATCTTTATCCTAAAGGCTTCATGTTTAAAATTATTTTCACATAAATATTTTTTTTTCTCCTGATTCAGTTTTCAGTGACCATGCTTAAGAACGAATGTGTCAATTATAAGCGAACAGGGCTTAAAATGCCACTATTAAGAGCACTTTTTTCAGGAGATTTTTAGACTTTTGAAAGACAACTTTTTTTAGGAGATAGGATATGTAATTTCAATGTTTCTCTCCTCTTCACATTTTTTTCCTCTTTAACGTACTCATAAGACAAATATATAGTGTTGAACTTCATAGACTTAAAAAAATCTTTCACCTGTAAATTCTTTCTCAATTTTCTGTGCCCAGTAGGAAGAAATTTGGGCTATGTCACCAGGAGAACTGGGATTATTAAATGACATTTTCAATTGTTATAGAGTTCTGTGTGAGTTAGAGACATTGAATTTAATGGGCTCAATTTTAATCTGTTTTATAAAGAAAGTGTCACTTTATATCATGTGAAAAAATACTTCCTCAATTGGGATACAAAACATGAAAGTACTTCTTTGAACCTTTCAATATGTCTCCCAGGATAAAAACAAAAATCCTGTTTTTGCTTTTCACATCCTACAGACTATTTTTTTCTCAATCTTCCACCTAGATTATTTAGATTTTTATAAATCACTGGCTGTCCTGACATTTAATATGCTTTTTTTAATGTTTATATGTCATGAAGACAAAGCATTTGAAATCTGTATTAAAAATTAATCTTTACCTAGGGTACATAAAGCATGTTAACATTTCCAGATAAAGTGTGGGGTTTGATATACAAGATTCATGTAGAATTGATTAACCAAGTGCATCTTGAAAAATCCTTAGGATTATGATTTTACTTATCTCTAATCTCTTGGATAATGGAGATAATGCAAATAAACATTGAAAGTTAATAACATCATCATACGGTGGAGATAAGCAATTTACCAAAAGCACATATCACGGTTTTCTATAAGCATACACATACAAAGCATTTGCAGTCTCTACGTTATATAAAATCACTAAAAGCAAAGCAAACGATTCAGGAAAATGTTATATATTCTACTAATCAGTGTCTTGTTTTCACAGTTTTCTTGAATTTTTTAAATTTAAAAGTCTTTCTCCCATGTAGGACTGGCCTTTTGGAGTTAAGCTGAAGACTCTGCATTTGCTGCTTAGAGCTATTTCCGCAAAGAATCATACTCAGTTTGCTTCTAAAGAATATGTGATGTTTGGGAGAGAATGGGAGACAGAAAATTAAAAATGAAATAATTATGAGATGGAAATGCATAAAGTAGGCTGGAAATTGTCTTATCAAATTTGGCCAATTATTCTGAAACAAGCTCTAAACCCATGCTCTCAGAAATGTCAAATCTATATATGTATCAAAAAAGCGGTTCAATTTTAATCCATCCATATGCCTGTGATTTAGAAAAATAAATAGAAGACACCTGGAGACAAACATTGTGAAATGACTTTATTTACAGCTAATCAATATTGGGCAACCGCATGGCTTTTTATGTTTTCTGTTATGCCTGGCTGCCTCTGAAAATACAAATATAGAACAGCCATAGATAGAGTCTAAGTTGATAGGTCAATAATAAACATGTACTTGTAACACTGATGCCTTTTTGTTTAGAGATAGGCAGTCTGATCAATTTCTATACATTTAAATCATTTCTTCAAAATTACTGAAATCACTTAGGAACTGCATATGATAAAACTAGTTCATTGTTTCATATTCCAAAGTACATGATTCTCTAAGTAATTCAAAGAACTAAGTATATGACTAAGTTATTCTAAGTTATTACATGTACACATAAGTAATTCTAAGAACCAGCTAGTATTAAAAAAATACTGTCTTAAAGGTCTAAAATATTTGTCTTGCATATAATACATCTGCACGTATACAGGTAGAATTTCTATGTGTTTATTTACACTGTATATACTTATATACACACAGCTATAAATTGGCAAATATGTTTTCAATAAAATTATTATATTTACATTTCATAAAGCTTACTGTTCTTGAGTTTGATGTGTCAGTGAAGTTTTACCTTTGTCAAACTCTTCCAAGTCAGTCATTGTTTAAAAGAATACATTTTTCCTGCTTGCCTGCTCCCATCATTTTCACTTCTGAAAGTCTTGATTCAATAATCTCTGAAAGTCTTCTTAAATCCTAAGGTGATTTAAAAGCTAGGACTATAAATTCTATTTGTATCATTTAATAACATTTAGGAACAAACTTTGGGGTAGACAGCTTGTTAGCCTGAGCTTCCTAACTTACAGTGTTGAGCCTGCAGCCCAAGAAGCCTATGGAGTTTTTCTGCAAAAAATTCCTCCCACTTTCAGTGCAGGTAGGATTTCAGTTTCACCTTCACAGGACTGAATGTAGGGAGGGCAAAGGAGAGAACAAGTCTAGCAAGATAAAGGACTCACATAAGGGGAGGTGACATGAAGGCGAATATCAATCAATAAATAACCTGTTTTGTGAAGTTTGATCCAAATTTTCCCTTCATCTGAAACTGTTGATAAAAAAGAGTCAAAAATTTTTAAAAGGGGAAAAAGTGTCATTTTATTATTTATTTATTTATTTGACTTTGAAGTTCATGGTTACAAGTGCAGGTTATATAGGAAAATTTGTGTCATGGGGTTTGTCACACAGATTATTTCACCACCCAAGTATTAAGCCTAATACCCATTAGTTGTCTTTCCTGATCTTCTCCGTCCTCCCCGACTCCACTCTTTGAAATGCCCCATTTTGTGTTGTTTCCTCTGTGTGTCAATGTGTTATTACATACCCTAAAAGACACAGGCTTAATTCTTTGGCCAAACACTAAACAGCATTCTTGAGCCATATTTTTTCTTTCTAGCTCAGGTTACTGTAGTCTCCACGTTCTGTGATGTCTTTTGTTCAACTAAGAATTCAAGTCCTTTCAGGCATCTTCAAAATCTTTATTCTGATATGTAACCCTGGAAATAAAGTATTAGTACCTATATGTTGGATATAGATAAAGCCCATCAATCATTTGATTATCAACAAGGTTCAGAAAATTAGTAGGTTGTTCATATGTGGACAACATTCTTATTAATCTACTGGTTCTATTTATTTTGCAAAGGGTAGTTACGTGCACAGACAATTGCTGCCTTTTCATCGTTCTCTTAGAGAATTGGTTCTCGGCCTGGAATGTTAAATTCAGTTGTGGAGTGTTTAAAAATATTAGTGTCAGGGCCCCAATCCAGATGAATTAAATTATAATTTCTGAAGATAAAATCATATATATGAATTTTGAAGGTATATATATATATACACAC